CGGCTGTCCATCCCGGTCCGCCTCTACGACTGCAAGAATGAGATCGTCGCGGGTGTCATTGGGTGCCCCAATCAGATTATTCTCATCCCCTTTGTCAATGACAACCGACTCTGGATACCTATGGAAGGTGATTGTTCCACGGACTACGTCGCCATCAACGTTGACAAACATTCCAACTCCTGGCTCTGTCTCCTCGGTGCCCCTGACCAGTAGAAATTCAGATGAAGTCGGGGAAAGAATATGCGGTTTCAACTGGGCCGGGGGTTGCTTTGGCAATGAGGGAAGCGGTTCTGGAGTTTCACGAGGACTAGATGGCGAATCGTGCGATGGATGCTCCGATGACATGTTTGGCGAAATACTCCCCCCTCGTTCCTTCGAACGTGAACGAGTGGGCGTGCCGGAAGTGGGAGAGAGTTCAGGCGTCACAGAGCTCGCACGATCTTGTGAAGCTGATGGCGCATTCGGCTGAAGCATTCCCGCAAATGTATTCAAGCTGGGACTTCTGCCATGCGACTGGCCCTCGACGGGGGAAGAACTAGGAGACAGCGAGGCGGGCGGCATGTCTTCCACTTGACCAGACGCCAAGGCTTCATCGAAAAAGGACATTGGAAACAACGGTATCTTTTGCTGGTGTTCCACATCCAGCAGGGAATACGCGTGCGTATCCGCTGCACAGGCGATTATGCCTCTCCGTGAGGCGGTTAAGCATCCTGGAAACTCAATGTTCCTCACGAGTCGAGCATCGTCACCGATCCGCACGAGCATCATTTTGTTCTGAGTTGCGATCATCACGACGGGTCTCTCCGGCTCATCCATAGGGACGTTCCGGTCAAGACCCCCGATCCAACAGCAGTTGTTAACCTTCGTGTTCTCGCGGAACGCCGGGCTGAGCTCCGGTAATAGGTAAAACGTAGCCGTTCCATTGCAGAGAATGCAGGCTTTGTTCACGGAAGGGAGAAGAAGAATTTGCTGGATTCCTTGTTGCCTTTTGGTGGCGGATGTATTCCGGGAGAATGGAATTGGCAGTCTCGACGCTAAAATGAAGGACGGCTCGTTAGAGTTGTCCGACGGATCGGGCGGGAGGCAGACGAAATGTAAGATTTCCGCAGCGGAGGTTCCGATATAGAGGTTGTCATCTGTCAATGGGACATTCTGCAATTAATGAAGTTGTTCACGTGGTGTGGCCGAGACGCATACGTACTCCAATATTCGACACAGGTGATATGGACATCATCATTGGGGTCGTCAGCCGTCAGCGGTACTTGATCGAAAAGAGGTCGTAACATATAAGGTGCAGCTTTGGGTGGAGTGATCTTCCGCTTCTTGCGGGGAGTGGTCCCATCGTCCTCGGACACCATATTGAGGCCCGCTCTGGTATCTCGAATTGAGATGGTTCCAAGTTCCAAGGTCTCTGAGGGGAAACGTCGGAAGCTGTGTCGAGGTGATGATTGATTGCCTTAAAGTGGCTTAAAAGAGTGGGCCAAAGCCGGGGTTAGTCTTTGCTGACTCAGGCACCCAGTGGAGCATTTCCATCGTTTCTACGGAGTACGGAGTATAGGAATTTGAAGTATTGATATACTCCGTACTTGCATATGGACACTACTCCTTGACAGGTTTCTCAGTAGGATTTCTCCTCAGATATATCACACGGCACAAGATTCCGGGGAAAGGACATACATACTCTAGTACTTACTAGACTAAGTTTCCACTTCTACTTTCCACCAGGATCCTGAGGACAGTAACTGGACATGTAGATTCAGGTGGTATTATGGCAGGGCCATAATATTTCCATATGGTATGTTCAAATTGACCAGATGAGGACACAAGAACATTGAGAAACTCCACTGTCAACAAAAGTTGATGTCACTGGTTCTAAAACTTGAGGAAAAGCCGTGGCTTACGCGTGCGGAACAACATCGGCCCGTGTCTCCGCAATCAACATACTAGTAACTGGTATTGTTCCCCATGGTCTCTACTCGTCTCGAGAGCGATGTCGACGCTTTTCTTCTTCTTTTATTACTGGTGGGGTGGTCTTTCACTGTTCAATGTACTGTAGTAAATTATAAAAAAAAAAAATATTTCCCCAAGATGGATTCTTTCGCGCTTACAGAAAGCATCGTGTCCGGTTCGAACAATCAAGATGGCCACGAAGCCGCAACGGACACCGGGAAGTTGCCCGAGGGGGTCAACAAGTTTCAACGGGCCATTGCAGCTTGGAGAGGTAACTAGTTCAAATTCGTATGTCCTAACGGACCGAGTTGGTAGGGGCTAACTTATCGCCTTCAACTAGGTATTGACCTGTCCAATACCATTGCGAAATTAGATACGACCGCCTCGGACATTGTCGCTCAGCAACGTGATGCTCTTGTTCAACGGAAGGATCTCGCCCAAAAGACGAAGGATTTCCGAAAGTTGGACGATGCGACAAAGCTGACTGAATACAAGAGCCTGTTGAAAGGTTTGTGCCTTTCTCCCCTTTTGATCCTTCTGGCCTAACGGATGCATGGCCAGCGTACCAAAGCTTTATCGACGTCTTGACGAACCAAGGAAAGGCCTCGTCGAACGCTTTCTTACAGCTATATTCTTCCTTGTCCGAGGCTCCCGATCCTTATCCGCTACTCGAGGCATCCATCGACTCCCTCGTTCATTCCGAAGAAACCGTCCCGAAATTAACCTCCGAACGAAATCAGCTGCAGGGCAATGTAGACCGCCTTACCTCCCAGTTGGAAGATACTGAAAAGCGACTCCAGGAGGAACGGGCTGCGAGGAAGAAGTTGGAGGATAATCAGGATTCGAAGATCAGAGAGATCGAGTCTTCCTGGTCAGCTGTGTTGTCAGAGAAGTCGAATAATTGGACCGCCAAGGAGAAGAGCTTGGAAGAAAAGGTAGAAAATCAAGAACGCTTGATCAAGGAACTCAAGGCGAGCTACGAGGTTTCACAGCGCTTGGGTCAGGATGACGATGCTGGTGATAGTCCTCACCAAGGGGGGGCTACTGCTGCGGAACTGGAGCTGGTATCTGCCGATCTTGAGAAAACGAGTCTTAGACTAGCAGAAGTGGAAGCACGGAATGAACAATTGACACTTGAGCTGGCTCAGGTTGTCTCACATTCCCAACCGGAGCAAACAGCATCGGTTGAAGAAGACCCCGCATACCTTCGTTTGCAGTCGGAGAATTCTTCCCTGTTGCGCAAATTGGATGCCGCGCGATTTGACAGAGAGTCTGAGCGGCATTCTTGGGAAGCCAAGATCTCGCAATCCGAAAGACATAGCGTCAAGGTTGTCGCCGAGAGAGATGAGTTGCGAGTGAAACTGGAAAAGGTCGCTGATTATGAAGATATCCGTAGGGAGCTGGAAATGATCAAAGTAGGTGGTCATGCCCACGCCCTCCACCGAATACTAATCAGCGTCTATGTATAGTCCATTGAATTTTCCGCCGGTGACGACGACGATATCCGGGACCTCACGGATAGTGCTACAGCCCCTGCTAATGGCGCAGCTTCCAAAGACGGGGCAAAGAACAGTTTGGAGCAGCTTTTGTTGTCTCGGAACAAGAAGCTCACGGACGAGCTAACCGTTTTACGGGTATCACACCGCGATCTTCAAGGCCAACTTGAAGCCTTACGTGAAGATCTCACGACCACTAAAGGGGAGCTGGAAAAGTCCCAGAAGCTTTCTGCTACTCTTGAGAATGACCTCCTCCGTGTGCAGGAGGAGGCTGCGAATGCTTTCCCATCATCTGCGATGTCTGTCACAGGCACTTACACCTCGAAACACCCGTACTCTCGACGGGGAGGTACATCGCCGACATCATCAATCATCTCGGGCTTGGACCATTCATCTGGATCTTCCAATACCATGGATGCCATTCGAGCAGGGGAAGCTGTTGGCGGCGGCTCAGGCTTATTGCCGATGATTCAGGCACAGCGTGACCGATTCAAAAAGAAGAACGCGGAGCTCGAGGAAGAGCTGTCAGAGATGTACAATACCGTGAAGACACTCAGGCAGGAAGTGTCGTCTCTTCAGAAGGATAACCTCAGTCTGTATGAAAAGACACGGTATGTGTCAACTTATAACCGTGGCCAGGGAGGGTCCTCTTCGGCAAGTGCCTATGGAAACAAGCCGAATCCATCCTCCGTTCACCTGACTTCGGACACGCCATCGGGGTTGTCACTTGATCGCTACCAGTCCGCATATGAGGCCCAGATTTCCCCATTTGCTGCGTTCAGAGGTCGGGAATCTGCACGCGCATATAAGCGCATGAGCTTACCCGAGCGGATGGTCTTCTCTCTCACGCGAATTATCCTGGCTAATCGGACCAGCCGCAACCTGTTTGCAGGTTATTGTTTTGCCATTCATATTCTCCTTTTCGCAGTGTTATACATGATGAGCACGGTTGAGATAGAGAAGCACAGTGCAAACTTGGGTGCTGCTGCCATGGTTGGTGGAGTTGGTGGAGGCAGCAGCTATGGCGGGGGGCAGGAGTTAAACGGGGATGACTGGCAACAGGAGGGTTTCCATCACGCAGGATAGACAGGGTCTCCGACTTTTCCCAATTTCTTTACATGCGATTCTAGGCTTCGTTGATCTGGGTGGCGCTGGCGTTGGCGGGCAATGGATCTTAAGAATGTACGTACTATCCATAAGTGATGATGCGTTTCTGTTTAGTTCTGGGAGTAGGACGTTTAGTATAGTATGCTATTTAAATACCCTATTGATGAATCCATTAACTCACCCTTATTCCCTCTGCGTAGTATATGTTACTTGGAAGGTTGCCATTGAGGCTTAGTAGTACTAATATAAATTGGTGGGGGGATGAATCACAGTCAGTGCGTTTATCTACTATAGTACTCCGTATACTCTATGTTTATGATCCATTGAAGCATGCCTTCCAATTGCTTCTGGGGGAAAGTTCAACAACGAATGAATCAATCAATCAACAACAACAATAATAATAATAATAATAAAAAGATAGAGCTGAAAAAAAAAAGAAAAGAAAATGGCCCGAGCCGCGGATCGAACGCGGGACCTCTCGCAAATATGCTTGGGGTTGTTGTGCTGGTGCACGCCCTAAGCGAGAATCATACCACTAGACCACCCGGGCATTGAATGTTGAAATGAATCTCAATATTTAGTATGATATTCCAAGGTAATACCAGTAGCTCCTTCACCATTGGCAGTGCTAGAATATACCACCACCCGTGGAATTTATCATGCACAGCCATTTGATATCGACGAGAACGTAGAGTAAACTTCAACCTTCAACAATTATAGTTGAAGCTCTAATACAGTATAGTTTTACCCCTCTCTGAACACACTAGTGTAGATAAGACTGCTTGTATATATATATATATATAGAATCTCCGAGGAATTAGGTTGTTTCTTGGAAGATGGAAATAGGACTCGATACCGTTAGTAGTCAAGACTAATCTCTCTACTAGTACGGAGTACTAAGTAGGATATGCTGTAGTATACGGAGTACTAGTCATGTAGATACATCCATCCCTAAAAATAGGAACCATCTTATTCCATCGATAGCAATTGCCGTCCTGACAGGGCATGGATCGGCTGATAAAAAGAAGCCCCGCCGTATCCCAGTTCTGCACACTAACCACCATCGGTAGTGATTTAGGCGCTCACCCTGTCCACCAGTCGATATTATTAGATACTAAGATTAATCGGAGACTTCCATGCAGGAATCTTATACGAATGAGCGCCCATGGAATCCCTGTGCCATGGAGTGCCCCGACAAATGGTGTAAGATCAGGTTTCAATGGCAAGATAAACGAATCAGGGCTGTGATATGCTGCAGCAATAGCCGCCCGCGCTTCCCCCGCTGTGTGCACGGTACATACATACCTCAACATCAGACTAGTCACTCTTATACTACGACCTGCAGTCTAGTCTAAAGGATCGCAGTCGGCGCACTCCGACCACCAATCAACATGACTAGTCTAAAGTATACTTTCTGCGGGCGCCTTCCAGCCCCCTCTCACTCGATGATGTTTATAGGTACGACCGTTGGGGTTTCGAATGCAGTATAGTTGCTGGTACTCTGCGTGCATAGGTGTTATATTGCAACCAGCAGAGGCAGTGTAGCATATAATATATGAGTGCCCTCGGTGTCTGGAAATATTCCAGTCTTATTTCCTCAACTGTCGTCAGCATCACTACCATTAATACCCTCTCCACTCAAGGTGACTGTTGAACACCCAGGCCGCAGTCATATCATTCCATTACCCCCCCCTCCCCCGCCATATAAATCAAGCTCGACAAAGATCTCCGCTGGCGAAAGCATCCGGAATGCGTTCAACATTCGTCCTCGTTGCCTGCCTAACAGCCCCTTCGTTGGCGGCACCGGCACTTTTCGATAACGTGTATAACTACTCAAACGACCTGTCGGAGTTTCTGGGGAGAGTGAGCAAGTATATTGAGCGCTCGACAGACCTCCTCAGCTCAGCTGCATGCGACACATCTAGCATTAAACTGCCAACGTATGCTTCCAAGCTTCCTGCCCCCGAGGGCCAGCGACCCCGATACGTTGCACTCGGACGTGGTACCCAGGTAAATAGAGCGTACCCTTATCTTACTATATAGCCAGTCGCACTGAAGCTCACATCACACAGAACTATACCTGTGCGTCACCATCCACAAACTCGACGCCTGTAGCCGTCGGCGCTGTTGCAAAACTTTACAATGCCAGCTGCATCGCGGGAAGGTTCTCAGACATGCTCAACATGTTACCAAATATCGAGTACAACATCCCGTTGCCGTATGGTGAATCGGATCGTCTCCCGCCGGCAAACCTGGATCTGATGGGTCATCACTTCTTTGATGGGCCGACGCCCGTCTTTAACCTCGACACCACCGCAGTGCACCAGTACGGCATGGTGAGAACGAAGAAAGAGGCGCAAATCGACGCCCCACCGAATGCCATTCAAGGGAACGGCGGGGCCGTTGCATGGCTTTATCTCTCAACCACCAGTGGCACGGTGGGCGATTATTCCAGCGTCTATCGGGTTGACACTGCCGGGGGATCTCCACCAAAGACTTGCAAGGACATGCCCGCGGAATTTACGGTTCAATATGCGGCCAACTATTACTTTTATGGGAAATGACGATGTTTTGGGCGATCAATAAATACTTAATGCGTTTTTCAGTTGTATGTAGTATGTACATAGTTGGACCATACGAAGGACTCCACGGTTCATGAATATCATCGATTATGACTTGATCTCCGCAGTGTGAGCCAAAAATAGGAGCACCTCCCCATGTATTCCGAAGATTACGTAGGAGGGACAAATCTTTCCCAACGTCCGAATCCAATAAGACGCAGGGTTTGGGCAAATCAGGTGACCTCGCTATTCTAGCCACATCACGTGATCTGAAAGTTCCCACGACAGAGTGACCGGGATCTAGTCCCCATGCGGCCTAGCGGATTCTGATTTTCAAAGTTCCGACGGTCAGTTTGAAAAAACTCGACCGCAACAACGACCAACAGCACGGCCTCGACCGAACACTGAAAGCAAGTGGAAGTGCGAATTTTTGGCACAAGCTGCTTCGAAAGGCCCCAGTGACCCTTGCGATTTACAATCTCGCCCATATCGAGCGGGTTTACTTCCTTCCCCCGGAAAATTTTCTTCTGCTCTCGTTGCTAGTACAGCAACCTTCGTTCACCCATTTCACCCCACATTAAAGTCGATCCTATTCACTTCTCATAACACAATGGCCTTCGGTGCTCGCGGCGGTGGACGTGGTGGACGTGGCGCTCCCCGTGGGGGAGGTGGTCGTGGTGGTAGAGGTTTGTTCACGATCAGTTCCACCTGGGACTGCAAGCAGACGCAATCTTTCTCAGCATTGTCGCTCTCTCTATGGCCTTGAAATCTGTTCCTGTACCCTTTCTCAGATCTCTTTGCCACGGAGAGCGACATCCGCGACAGTTGCTCGATCTGCCGTGTCCTTGAGGAGTGTGGTGTGGCTAACACGATCTCTTGCGTTGATCTACAGGCGGACTTGGAAGTGCCTCTCGTGGCCGTGGTGGACCTCGTGGTGGAGGTCGTGGTGGACGTGGCGGACCTCCTGGCCGTGGTGGCCGTGGTGGCCCTCGTGGCGGACCTCGCGGCGGTGCTCGCGGTGGTGCTCGTGGTGGTGCCAGGGTTATCATCGTAAGTGTCCTGATCCACAATGTTACTCTGATCCCAGCAGCTGATTGCGGTCATCTATAGGAGCCCCACCGTCACGCCGGTATCTTCGTTGCCCGTGGCGGTAAGGAAGACTTGCTCGTCACCAAGAACTTGACCCCCGGAGAGGCCGTCTACGGAGAGAAGCGCATTGCTGTTGAGACTCCCACTGAGGACGGTACCGCTACCAAGACCGAGTACCGTGTCTGGAACCCTTTCCGTTCCAAGTTGGCTGCTGGTGTCCTCGGTGGTCTTGACGACATCTACATGAAGCCTGGCTCCAAGGTTCTGTACCTTGGTTCTGCCAGCGGTACCTCTGTCAGTCACGTTGCTGATATCGTTGGTCCTACCGGTAACGTCTATGCTGTTGAGTTCTCTCACCGTTCCGGTCGTGATCTGATCGGCATGGCCACCCACCGTACCAACGTCATCCCCATTGTTGAGGACGCTCGTCACCCCCTCCGCTACCGTATGCTGGTGCCCATGGTCGATGTCATCTTCGCCGACGTTGCCCAGCCCGACCAGGCCCGTATTGTTGGTTTGAATGCTCACATGTTCCTCAAGGAGGGTGGCGGCATCATCGTCAGTATCAAGGCCAACTGTATCGACAGTACCGCCAAGCCGGAGGTTGTTTTCACTCGTGAAGTCCAGAAGATGAGAGAAGAGCGGATCAAGCCTAAGGAGCAGTTGACCCTGGAGCCTTTCGAACGTGATCACTGTATCGTATCTGGTATCTACAAGCGTTCTGCATAAAAGAAAATGGGGGGTTTGGTCTCTTTTTTCATGTCTTAATCATTCCTGTTCTTTTTCTGGCGTCAAGTGTTCTGTGATATGCTGAAATGTTTCTCTTTTGCTATCTCGAGGTTTCTTCTGAATGTACTTTTTGAGTCAGAAAATATTAAGTTTCCGGTTCGGATTGCTTTACTTGCCTTCGGTCTTGGGCCATTGATCAACTGGGATATTAGAGACTCGTATCATGTTTGTAGGAAACCAGTTGCTCGAACGTTGTTTCTCGGACGTTCGCCGGTGGTCGACAGTCCAGCGGTTCGGCAGTCGGATTACTCGCCGATTATCACCACAGCTTGTCCCAGTCCTCGTAACTAAATCTGGGATTTTCCCACTTCAAGAACTAATCATTCGGGTTGACCCCGCAGTCCCTTGACAAATTACTGCTATTTAATCTCAGCGATAATCCCGTGGGATGTCAAGCACTCGTAAAACACCGTGGACTACTCCGCACAACTCGTGTATATAACGAACATGTCGATTATCATTACCGGCGCAAACGGCTACGTTGGCCAGGAATTGGCCGCCGCCCTCTTATCAAGTTCCCCGGACACTACTGTGACACTCGTAGACATTGTTACGCCTACCGTCCCCGCTGCTGCCGTTCAACATACCTCGCGAGTGAAATGTGTTCAAGCCGATCTCACCTCGCCCCAGGTGGTTGATGAGATGTTCACCGAGACACATCGTTTCGACACCATCTACCTTCTACACGGAATCATGTCCAGCGGCTCGGAGGCCAACTTCGAGCTGGGAATGCGGGTGAATCTTGATGCCACCCGATATATTCTGGACCGACTTCGGGCCGTCATGCCTGGTGTGAAAGTGGTGTTTACGTCGAGTTTGGCGGTTTACGGTCGAGCGCCTGCTGGGTTCGTCATTGACGAAACGAATTTTCCCCCCGGGCCCTCCTCCTCGTACGGATCGCAGAAACTGATCATCGAGACCTTGCTGAACGATTACTCCAGGCGGGGGTTTTTGGACGGCCGGGCGGTGCGTCTTCCCACGGTCACCGTTCGCGCTGGTCAGCCGACGCAGGCCGCTAGTAGTTTCGCCAGCGATATTATTCGGGAGCCGTTTCACGGGCACAAGGCGATTCTCCCCGTCAGCAAGGAGACGGAGATGTGGATCTGTTCGC